GAACGTATAAAAATAAATATCTTGGTCGACGCTGTGACCGTACGTTTGTTTAATACTTCGAGCCGTGTTGACTCTAATATACTCGCATAGAAGGATCAGGCTCAAACTTAAATTTATCATTTAACCCATGCAACATCCTCAGACATCACGTGTTACCCATAATACGCTCGTCGGTACCCATGCGAGTATTAGGGAGGCATTTTTGTAATTATTTGTTGAACTTTGTCGACACTACCTAATTGCTAACAGATGATCGGATTCGTTGTTAGTTTTGTGCCTTTATTAGTAATTTTTTCTTATTATGGACATTGAAGGCCTGATATGAATGTATAAAACCAAATATCATGTTCGATGTCATGATTGTATATTTGTTCATTGGTTCAAGTCGTGTCAACTCCCGACCTATCAAGGAGAATGATTGAACTTAAACTTAAGTTCATTTCTTGACCCACACAGCATCCTCAAACGTCACGTGTGTAAATACGACATGCTCGTCTGGGCCTATGCGGGTGTATATTATTGAATGTATCTAAGTTAATGTGCTTGCATGTGCACTTCTGTGCTTATGTGTATACATATCGTAATATATATGTGGGGGCATTTTTGGAATATTTGACGCTGAGCGGTCGTGCGGGTTACCGTCATTTAAATGTACGTGAGTTCTATTTGAGACCTTATAGACACCTTATGTCTGCTTATATGCATGTTGCAGATTTGGTGGTGCAACATCGTGGTGCATTAGGTATCATTCGGGAATTTGTAACGCCATTTAAAAGCAATATAACTTTTTTTTGCGTATCATTTCGCTTGGGTGAGGGCCCATGATAGCACCTAATGTCTCGAGCATTACACAGCCATTTTGCCTTTAGTGCATCATATGCTTTTGAAAGCGCTAAGCTACTAAATAAAGAAATTTGAGACATCACCATCATAATTAGATGAAAGTAAGAAATTTTTCTGAGCTATCACTATCAAATTAACATTTAAAAAACTTAACAAAGAGAAAAAAAAATAAACCACTTTATGTTTTGCAAGAATATTTTCTGACCAATTGCGATCCGAATACCATAAGGACAATGCCACCAAATGCGATTGATGCAAAATGAAGGAGGAAAAAGATCACAATACAAATAAGATATAAAATAAAATAGGCAAGAAGCATACTTATTTTTATACGGGAGAGAATTGAAAGGACTACATATTTACTTAGTTATTTTCATAGAACAAGCATATATGTTCCTATATATAGGTAAGATAAGAAAATATTAAAAAAATATATAATAGAAGAAAATAAAATAAAATAAATACTCAATAATGAGAAATATAATAATAATAAATAGTTAGCACATGTAATAATTTAAAGATTATAACACGGACACAATGTAGCATAAAAGATATAACTTATGTTTGGAAACAACAGTGATCATAAATGAAGTACTTGAAGGTTTTGTTGCCTAGAGGTTGCAAATGTTGCGAGAGGAATATGATGGAATCATGAGAAGGGAACTGACATAAATTGGACTCAAAATGCCAATATGGCAAATATATTATATTTAAATAAAAGTATAAAAAGAGATCATCGATAGAAAATTGTTGACAAAGACTATTGTTATAAAGAATTAACGGAGTAAGATCTGGATTATGTCGCTAATATAGATGATCAAGGAAAGGTTGGTCATGATAGTACCATGTCTGCAAATGGTAAGAGTCATCGAAGATGACCACATTTGAGATGGAGAGAAGGATCACATAAAAGGAGAAGTCAATGGAGCATTGTGATAGGAAGCACTTGTAGATCTCAAGTAATTCCTATTAATCTTTGGAAACAACGAGAATTCTCCACCAAAAATCCACACAAAACTAGGAAAAACAGTAAATAATTTGTACTATTTGATGAAATGGAAACAAAAAATACCAAAATACTTGATCCTCTATTCGAGAGGAGGATCTATCTCTCCCAATTCTCTAGATGCCACTAGAGCCCAAAACCTAAGAGAGATCTCAAATATCAACCAAATTCAAAATGCCCTAACTCTAGGAAAACAAACTATTTAACGCATACAATCCAAAAGGAAATCTCTAAACAATCCCTGCATTCAAATTTCCATCCTAAACTTCTCCTAAAACCTTCCTAATCTACTCTTTTGGACTATGCGGTTTGATGGACCTATGCAGGAGGTGGAACTTCTCTGCCTCTGTTGCCCGCAAGCCGGTCCCGCATGGACCAGCTGGATCGGTCTAACACATAGACAAATCACAATGGAGATAGAAATTTTGAGGAGTTTGGAATTTGCCTGAAGGTGCTTAGAGAAGATTGGAATTATTCTAGGTCATGGCTCTAAAATACCATATTAAAGAGAGAATTGAAAAGTAATCAATCATATTCATAATAAAAGTATATATATACATCTTTATGTTGGTAAGAGAAGAGAACAATAAATATATATAATGAATGAGAAATTCTAACCTAGAGATTACAACTCTTGTAAATAAGTGTGACCGATTCGTGAAATGTGAATTAATTAAAATGAGTCGGAAATGAGATTCAAGATGAAGAAGACGCAAATAAGTTTTTTTCAATAGAAGCAATACTATAAAATGTTGAAACATGTGACAATTTAGATATGATAACACTTACAATTGTAAGTTAATTAGTAACATTAATAGGTCATGATCAAGCTTTGTGTGATTTAAAAGATAGTGCTCACAATAAAAGCACAATTACAATTGTTTTCACAATTCTTAAGAAAGTTATGCATGGCTACTCGTCTTTTGGACCAATCATATTGAAAACGAACTAGCATTCAAAATTTGCAAACTACTCCAATTGTGAATAGCATGATGTCATCAAAATAACCAAAGTTTTAAAATTAATATAATAATGATATGAAGTTCACAAGATAATGAAAGAGAAATACAAAGGTATCATTAATTTAAGTTAAAACGTTGGTTCAAATTTCTCCTATAAATTGACTTTCAAGAATGACGAGTAGATTAAAAAAATAGAGAAAAAGGTCGCAATAGTCAGTGTTCAATTTAGTCTCATAAATCCTTAAATATGGCCTAAAATAGTCCCTTCAATATATTATTTTCAAATATATTTGAGAAGTCAATAAACTATTATAGATCAGACTTGAAGAATCAAGGGTTTTTTTTATAACACATTAGATAGTATAGATCTAAACCGGCTCCCTATAAAAAGTCTATGGACCATTTTGGGTTTTCCTCCTAAAAAATTTAATCAAATCCTTGACTCTTTTTTTAATGAGATAAGAGATAAATCGCATAGTATGTGGCTCAAACTCACGATGTAGAGAAACAACCTTCCACAACCACTAGGCCGTTGATCCTTTTGTAAAATCCTTATTCTTTTGTTAGAGCCTTAAGAATTAATAATGATCAACATACTTTACTATTTTTAGACACATTACTTCACTCAAGACAAGACCGAGTTCCAAATATATTAACCATCAATCAATTGAGAGAAAAAAAAAAACAATTAGCCACTATAAGCTACAACAACATTATCATTATCATTAGCCTGATCCCAACTATTTGGGATTGGCTTGATGAATCCTCCTACATTTATTCTAATTAAGAACTGCATGAGTTTACAACTTTGTTGTAAGCAAACCTTTTTACACTTCTTGCTACATTACCTATGGTATACAATTTTTTTCATAATTCTTCACCTTATTGGTGCATCTTTCATCTATCATTTTTCATGCTCACATCAATTCTATTTCTCACTACCTTATCATCAATAGGTTATACTCTCACTACTCTAATAATAAGCATTTATGCCTATACCATCCATTGTTTCAAGTCACATCAAGCCAAATATTCTCATTTTTTCCACACTCGCTTTAGCTATTAGTGTCTTCCTTGTTGCCCAAAACTCTGCTCTACAATAGCATATCCACTTTAACTACAAATTTATAAAATATACCTTTGAGTCTTCTATAATCTTGAGATGGTCCACCATTTTAACAACAATTTTTTTTACTTTATTAGTCCTTTCCTCATGTATATCCCCGTTTTTTAGAAACCTTTAAAAGAAACCAAAAAGGAATCATCTACATTCCACATCATGTAAGGAACTAATCTAATAATTTGCTAAAAAGCAAAGCATTAGTAATTAGAATCTTCAATAAAATTAAATTGATAAACTTAATGATATGGAATTTGAATTTCCAGCCATATTAGTCCAAGATGCCAAGTTATTCTTTCAAAGAAGAACTTATTTAAGAAGATCACGAGAGAAATAGTGCCTCCCATATGGAAGAACAAGAACTGGAACTATCAGGATGAGTGGTTTTCTGGTTTGGCCCTTGAATCAATATCACTTGAAAAAAAATATATATAAGAACATAGATCTTGTGCAACCTTGGGGGTGATGATGTGGCAATTGAGAATAAAAAAGATAAGGCGATTGGGGAGAAGTTTGAGAGATCATTAACAAGGAATACTTAGGGTAGGATGGGAGGCCAGCAACGGGTACTCAGTCATATGAGCTAGCGAGTAGGTAAACAAACAATTAACAAATCAATATAATCTCTAAGAGTTGAATTCCAGGGTTATAATAAAGTTATGACCTCGTGCATTGCATTGAAAGATTTCTTTATCTCACAGCAGAATCCATGATATGAAAATCAGTACTGCATTAAGCACAAATGAAGGTAAATTACAAGACACAAAAAACGTAAAAATTTGAAAAGTAGACTTGCAACTTTTCACAAGACTTCGATGGCATAAGCAAACAACAAAAATGAATCTGCTTCATAGCCACAAAACTATCAAGCAGCAAAAGAAATGTAAAAAAACGAGTTCATGTTTATGTGCAAAGTGATAAAATACAATCAGCTCACGTAAAAATAAAAACACACGCAAAATTAAATTTATCATACTAGCAACATATATGAGATATTCACCGCAAAATCAAGTAGAACAAAAGCTGGAAAGAATAGCAAAAAAAAGGAGTTAAGGATAATTGCTCAAACCTTGGCTGGAATTCCATAACTTCTACAAGCTTGTTGCCATTACAATCATTCCACCGGACTTTCTTCCTCCTGCTCCTCTGTCTCCTCCCCTTCATCCCTCCTTTCTTCAACGCCGATGACAAAAGTGAGCTTGCCTCCACGTCTTCCTCATCCCCCTTATCCGCCCTTTCCTTAGAAACCACAGCGATATCCCCATTACACATCTTAGCATCATTCCCGCCCGAATCCATCTGCACCTACACCCAACCCAAGGATTCCGGGCATCAATCTACTCCCTAAACCAAACACAATTGGTAACACACCACAACCCAACCCTATTTAAAATCAAACCATAAGAGAGCAATAATAATACAGTAACTCAACACTGCTACGATCTACAACACGAAAACAACCCCCAAATTCCCATCGAATTGCTCCAACGCTAATCAAATCATCGATTCTCTGATCGAATATAACAAAACCAAATATCAAACAGAATGGATCGCCGTCACTAACCCTCGCACCGATTAAAGAACGAGAAAAAGCGGAAAGGACGAACAGAAGAAAAGAATGGAGTAATTGAATCAACTGCGGACGATAACTTCGATCGAAGAACTCGAATTCTACGTTTTTTGCTTCCTTCTGGGAAGATTCAGACGAAAGCAATAGGAGAAATCTCAGAAGAAGCGAGCGAGCGAGGGAGGAAAGTGAGGGAAAAAAAGGTTCGAACCCACCTCCCTCGCTTCGCATTCGACGACTCGCTATTTCAAACGGGAGTGCGACGCCTGACTCGAATAACGTAAATCTTATGCAACGCGGTTAGACGGTTTGATTAGTACGATTTGTTTTGAATGCGTCGGTACTGCTTTGGAATGATGGCCGGCAATAAATGCAAGGGTTATAAAGTCGTGTTCTTTTGATTTTTTTTATTTGTTTGTGCACGGGATTCTGATTCGGGGCGGCTAGTGGCTGCTGAGCGTTGTAATTTGCTATCGTGCGCTGGCTTTGTAATACTGTCGGATACGGTCCCAATGATGTACAGAGCATTATGGATTTTTTTATCATTATTTTTTAAGTAAGAATCCAAATTTAATTTTATAATAAATTAATTCTCAATTATTTTCCACGCCTCTATTTACTAATATTCTTATTTGGTATTTAAGACAGAAAAATTAGGACAATTTATGACAGGGAAGGTGAAGAAAATGTTTGGGTGATTATAGCTTCCACTTAAGAGATTTTGGGTGCCTCTTAGTAGAGTTGTTGCTTTTATGTGTAATTATCTCCAATGAAGTCAGGGGTATAAGTCTTGAACAACTATAAGATATTCCTAGTTAAAAATATATGAGTTTTCGAGAGAAGAAATTATTTTGTGCGGAGTCCGGACAGAAAGAACTGTCGGGATTTGCTGTGTATTCTGAGTATTTATTATTTATTTGTAAATACTTAGCAAATACTCAGTTATAAGTATTTGCTGAGTATTTGTTGAGTATTCGCTGAGTATTTATTGAGTATTTACTGAATATTATTGATTTGCTATATATTTACTAAATATTTATAAATAAATAATAAATATTCAATAAATACTCTGTGAATAAGTAGTAATCCAAACGGTTCTTTCCGTTTGGACTCTGCACAGAATAATTTCCATGTAAGTTAAATCTATCAAACCAATGATCAAATTTTTATAAAAATATATTGTTCAAAAAATTTGTCAAAAGTATATTAACATATGACAAATATTTTTTTACTAATTTCAAAAAGTTTTATTGCTTGGAATAATACTTGATATCAATTCATGAGATATGAGATCTTTAATGTAAAATTTTCAAATAAGAAAGAAAAAATGATGGGTTTAGATTAGGTAAAATGACTCTACTTATTTTAGTCATATATTATGAAGGATGTGCTTAAGGTGATATTATATATGAATTTGGAAATATATTTTTTAATGGTGGAAGTAAGAGTTTTAAGATGCATAAGTGATCATTAGGCGATGGTGATTAATCTTCCCAATCACTCTTTTTATAAAAGGGGCAATCAACTAATATGAAAGATAGACATCATATGAAGGTACTTGATTAACACTGGGATTGATCATTTAACGAGCATCGATGGATAACAAATGAGACAAATAACAAAGAAGGTTGGTATTAATCATAGATGGCTAACAAATGTTGAAAATTAGCATGAGATGGATGAGAATCGACTATAAATGTTAGATTTTAGGCAAAAACGTTCGATGGCTACCTTATTTTTTCTCTTTAGGGGGGTGGGGGAGAAAAGTGACTAAAAAGCGAGCGACTATCCAATGCCAAATTGGAAATACGGGCGACTATTAATTATATGTTTGATAATTCTCATTATAGATGAACTGAAGACATTGGATGTCGATAGCTAGCAAATATTAGAAATTTATAAGTGTTGAACTATGATCACTTAGTGATATCAAATGTCGCAGAACAATCGATGATATGATTAGATATTTTCGCTATATGAGGAGACATTGATGCTAAAAAGTCTAGCTTTGAATTTTTTTGGTGGCTAGCAAATGCCAAATATTGATAGACAATGCATGATAGTGAATTGGGAATGTCAAATGGCAGCTAGTGATGAATTCAATCATTCTTCCTATATGTAGAAAGGGAGATTTGTGATCATAAAGGAAAACAATAAAAATTTATTACATAAAGAAAATTGCAACAAAGCAATCAGTTATAGTCAAGCTGAAGGGCTTTATGAGGATCTTAATGAATCCAATAAATGGTTATTCTTACCTTACAACCTAAATGAAAAATGTTAGATATATATACTCTTTCTCCCCTAATTGGTAAAGATGGCTTTTGCATTTATATGTACTTACTGTTCATTCCTTGATTTTCTTCTTCAATGTTTCAATGAAAGAGTCTCTTTCTTCTGCTGTCATTCCTTGGGTGGAGCAGTCACCTACACCCCATTCAGCACCTCTAAGGCAGTATTTGTCCTGGATTTCCCTTTTATTCCTGCAATTTCCACAGTGAAAAACATTTAATATGATAGATGAGTTAGCAAGTTGTTCCTGAGCTGATATGATATTGGATCTGGGCTTGTTACAGTCAAATTAAATCTATCATATCTTGATTCAGGTCAAATATGGCTCATTAAGTTCAATCCAAGCTAAAATTTGACTTGATTTTCGGTTTATTTTCAAACTGGTGAGATAAATTCTTAGGCTTCGTTCGGGACGGCTTTCTTAATGCTTTCTAAAGTAATTTTCTAGTACAAAAATTTCTAGTTCAACAAAATTTATACTAGAAAGCAATAATCCCAAACGAAGCCTGACTTTTTTACTGCTTTTTAAAGCAACTTCTTAGTACACAAAAAAATTTAGTTCAAGAAATTTTTATACTAAAAAGCCGTCTTATTAAGCAATAAAAAAGCTGTCCCAAATGAAATTTTGGCCTGGCATACATGTAAGGATCCATACAAGTAGATAATGCATGCATATAGAAGCTTTAATGTATGTATCTGTGAGTACAAATATAGACATATACATGAATGTATGTATAGATTTAAGCTTCGTTTGGGACAGCTTTCTTACAACTTCTCAAAGTAGCTTTCTAGAACATAAGTTCTAATTTTTATACTAAAAAACTTATTTAAGAAGTAGTAAGAAAACCGTCCCAAACGAAGCCTTATTCAAATCTATATGCATGTATATCATGAGAAGATCTCGAGCTAATTTGATCTGTCCAAGCCTGAATTAATTAAATTTTGACTCAATATAGGCTTTACTGATGAATTCGAGTGTTAATTTAAATCAGAATAAAAATTTAATTTAATTTTTTAGTGTTCTGAAATTCAAAGTCAAATTAACAGACTTAAATTTTCATTTGGGATGATTTTCTTACTGCTTTCTAAAGCAGCTTTCTACTATGAAATTTTTTATTTCAAAAAATTTTTGTACTAAAAAATAATTTTAGAAAGAAATAAGAAAGCCTTTCCAAGCTAGAAGCCTTAATGCATACTGCTCAAGTGATGATGGGTACTGACATGCTCTAATTCTTTAGCTAAGCATTTCTATTGTAGCTGATGATGAACTAACACACTGTATTATCACAAACAATATAACTTGATAAAAAAAAGATTTAACAATGAAAAATCTGAAATTTGATGCATCGATATTAAGAGTACCAACTTCAAAACTGAGAAATGCCTCTTGAAGGCCTCCTAGTGGCTTTCATGGCAAGTAGGGCAAACGAAGTGAAAATCATGAAATTTTTTTATATCTATATTGTTGAGAAGAGAAAAATCTGAAAACGAGAATTTGACCTTTAATAGGACACAATGGAGAAAAAGGATTCATGTAGCCGACCCCACGTAGTGGAATAAAGGCTTGATGTTGTTGTTGTTGTTGTTGTTGTTGTTGTATCTATATTAGTGTGGGAATCAAAGATGGCTGAATGTCTCAAGATAAAAAATACAAGTTCTAAAAAATAAAGAGGAAGAATAGAGTCACGGTCAAGAGTGACAAATCAACTTCAGTGCCATGCCAGGAAAAAGTCTTACTATATTTCATGATCAAATAAAATATTCTTATAAGGAGGCTTCATTTGGGATGGCTTTCTTATTGCTTCTTAAAGTGGCTTTTTAGTTAAAAAATTAAAATTTTTGAAGTAAAAAGCTGCTTTAAAAAATAGTAAGAAAGCCGTTCCAAATGAAGCCTTAGTCTACTTCATATCTTATAATAGCTATATGCATGACAAATGAAGACAATTGCATAATCATTGCAAATTAAATAATACTTGAAAAACTAATATACACATTAACTATTGTTTAACAGATTTTCTTGATGACTTCCAACGGGAGGAATGAGTAGTTAATGAGAGTTACCTTTCCTTATTCAACTTTGATTTCTCCAATAGTTCCTTGAGCACAGTTGATTGTTTAAACCTTGAATCAAACTCTGCATACTTCTTCTGATTCTCATCTTAAAGAAGCAGGAATCCAGTCTTTATCAAGCACTGAAAACTAAAATGAAAAATGTAAACCAATTTACCAAAATCAGAGAGATGACGTAGCACACCATTCCATTTCTTGAGGAAATCAATCTCTGGTAGCTGAGGGCCTGGAACAGACTCAAGCCCAGTAAACCCCGAGAGAAACCCAGCATTCACTGAAATAATTAAGAAATTCATTTTCCTCATTTCCGCTCACATGGTTATGTGGAACAATTAGGCTGCTTATATCTAAAAATAGAGGAAATGGTAAACATGTTTCCTAGACTATTTGTGCGGGAACTATTTTAGTCTCAGAATATTTAAAAGTGTCAATTTTAGTCCCATAACTACTCGAATATAATAAAAAATAGTTCCACAGTTAAAATCATAATGTAAAATTCACGAAATGAGGTGTGGAATAAGGGTACTTTTGAAAAATAAAATTTAAAAGTGTCATGAACTGCATGAAATACTCTCATTTTGAAAAATAAGGTTTGGTTAGATGTTATTTGAATATTAGTATTATTTAGATATTAATGTTATTGAGATATCTTGTTATCAATAAAGTGTAATGTTAATTTAGTTTTATCATATTTAAACACTGCAATTGTATTTATAGTGATTAATTATGATTATGCTTTTTTTCATTATTTATATTAGCAATCAAATAGCTTGGCATTTAGATATGAATAGATACGAGACTTATCTAAATCACATAATTTTCAAAGCAATTAAAAGAGTTAGTTGGCTTTTTCCTATTTTGCTGGATGTACGATAAAAATGTCATTCTAATCTCTCGTGATTAAGGTTTCGTTTGGGACGACTTTCTTATTGCTTTCTAAAGCAGCTTTCTAGCGCAATAAAAAAATCGTCCCAAATGAAACCTAAAACAGTAAAATTTGTAAAAGACATCTTCTTTACCAGTGGAAAAAATAATCCTACATAACCCCATTAAATGATGTTAGTCTATGAAGAGCAATATCTAATTAATACTATAAGATCTATTTTAGGTAACTCATGATATTTTAGAACCATAAATCCTGAAAATAGAACTAAGTTCAAGGGCTCTTTCATAATAAGAAATTCAAGTTGCGCCTTTAGGCATTTCCTAATGTTATTACTTTAATCACAATCAAATATACATTGCAGACAATTAAATAATCTCCTCAAAAGTGAAATGTTAGACTACCAACTTCAAAAATGGGAAGTGTATATTCAAGTATGATAAAAAAAATGAAAATTATGATGGACTTCTGATAAATTGTCATCAAAATAAAATATAAATGATATTTATGGAACTTATATATAAACGAATATGACTTACATCTACATGTCATCAAAATAAAATTTAATTGAAATTTACAGAATTACTATTTAAATATGCTACTAACAAGATAACATTACATAGTATTAGTAGTTGAACTAAATACAGTCATAATGTTACATTACAATGTTACATTACTTAACTAGTTCGCATTATTAAATAATAATTTCATAAAAGATTTATTTTGATGCCATCTACGTGCTGCCAAAATAACTTGCAGCTAATGTCAGACTATGTAACAGTTAAAAGAAAGAACATTATCCAGTACACACTCCATGGTCTGCCCTTCGCTAATCAAGCCTTCAAAATGGCCATTCAAACAAAATTACAATCTCTAAGTCTAGAAGATCTTTACTCCCTCCTATATAGTGAAGAAACAATCTCAGCACAGAAATTGCTCGCAACCTGCAACTCCTTCAAATCATTGAACATCCTATAATGACAGCAATAACCTAAGGCAGAAGGCACCCGACACTCTTCAATTCTATCCTAACTGTGGTCACACACCTCATGGTCCCTACAAATTAGGCCGTTTAACCTTATATGGTTCCAGGGGAGGCAAGGCCTCTTCTCCTTTAATTGACAATAACAACCATAAAGCTCTGAGTATTATTTTGTCCCAACCCTCAACAAACTGGTATCTTGATATGGGTACAACATCACATATTAAATATGATGCCATAATAGAACAATCCTACAGCATATAAAGGCTACCAATAGGTTACTTTGGGCAACAATCACTCCCTCAATTATAACTGCTAACACCGACATCCTACCCATGCCAACTAGTAAGATCCTTCTCTCTAATTTCTCCACATTTCAAATATTCGCTACAATCATCTTTCAGTCCAATGCCATAATAATGGCAATGCTTGTTTCATTTTCTTAGATGCCAATAGCTACCAAATAAAGGAATCAAATACTAATCACCTCCTAATATCGAGGCCTAGCCACAAAGGTCTCTATTTAGCCCATTTATTTACTTCAAATCATGGTTTAAAATTGTGCAATCAAAGGCTCTCCTCTACGCCAGCGCGTCGAAGTGGATGATTGAACCCGTTATGTGAGGCATACGTCTTGATTCTACTAAGGCACACATTGAGGCGTGCTTCACCTCAATTGTGTGAGGTGTTTGCCTCGAAATAACATGAAATAAAATGATTTAAAAACCTAAACCTAATGTCAAGCAGCGTTTATACCTCATCGTTCCTGTTCGAATTCGTCTTATGCACCACACCATCTTCTTCGCCTCTTAGTTCCAATTTGACTTTGTCTACTGTTCAACTACGTATGATGTTTGAATTCGTCTACTGCACAACACCTTCTTAGAAGACATTCCATGTTCGTCTACTATTCGACGACCTGCTTTGTTTGATCGAAAGTCAGGAATGTTCAAAGACGTTCTTCCTATTCGAACAACGAGAGTTTGCTCGTTGCTGAGGTGCACATCAATTTCAAGAACTCGTGTGTTGTGAATAGCCCTTAGTTTTTTTTTTTTTTTTTTTCCTTTTTTCTGTTGGAGCTTGCATATGTCATCAGAAAGCTCTTGTTTTACTACCTTAAATGTTGAATCTACACTTTTTTGAGAATTTGCATGTGAATTTGATTATTTTTGTAGCCAGATTTGCCCATAAAAGTTAATGAACTACGTTTTATTGGGAAAGATAGAATTTTCAACTGAACTATTTTTTATGTTATTTTATTATTGTAATGTTTGAATTTTAATTCAATCTTACACAGTTTACTTGTTAATGTATATTTTATGCATTGTTTGTGTTTCATATATATGGTAATTTATTTTTTTATGTTCACTTTTAATATATTATTCGATTATTATGCAAAAAATATATTTATTTTGAATTAATGCAATTTTCTAATTTTAAGGCTTACGCCTCAAAACACCTTGAGGCTTACGTCACGTCTCACAAATGAAAAACACCTCAATACCCAATTGAGCAATTTTAAACATTGCTTCAAATATATCTCAACTTAAGAACCTAACTTTTGTCTCCACTCTATTGACCATGGACTTGTGGCACCGTAGACTAGGCCAATCCAACATCTCCATTTTATCTACTATAACTAAAAGCAACCCGACAATATATACTTTCCCCAACACCCTATTTTGTAACTCATGACATATAACAATGAGTCATAATTTTTCAATTTCTACATCCCAGTCACTTAGTTATAAACTTCTTGAACTTATGCATTCTGATGTATGAGGATTGTCTCTGATCATTTCACTTAATGGATACAAATATTGTGTTTCTTTAACTAAAGGTTATTCTCGTTACCATCGAGTCTTTCCCTTGAGAACAAAATCAGCAATAACTTCTGAATTTATACACTTCAAAACATGATAGAAATTTTCAAAAACATGATCCCTCTAACCTCAACATAGTTGCCCAATTCCTACCATATACAACAACAAACTATAACGCCACATCTTCTCATGCCTTAGCTGCCTCTTCAAACACAACATCCCACATCCACTACTCATCCACCCTACATCTCACTTACCATCAAGCTCCATTACCCTTGGCTCCTGCTCCCCCACCCTCAACACTCCCACCAGACACCCAATGCAAACCCACTCAAAAACCGGTCACCTTAAATCAAATAAAATACTCAACCTACACCATCATTGCACCTCGAGTGATCCTACCTACTACTCATCTATTGTCAAAAAGGAGAAATAGCGAAAAATCATGCATCAAGAAATGCATTAGAGGTGCATATCACTTGGTTACTAGTACCCCCTCTCCACATCAAAATATTAATGGTAACAAATGGATTTTGAAAGTCAAGTACAACTCGAATAGTATGGTTTCTTGAAACAAAGCACTTTTCGCACAAGATTTTAAACAAGAACTTGGCAATGGCTTCACTATAACCTTCAAACCCATCACCTACAGCAATTCTATCCCACAATTGCTAACTCATACATTTGGATGCTTTCGATGATTTTCCCCACATCACCCTAAATGAGAAAGACTAAATGGACCAACCACCAAGTTTTCACAACCCAAAACATTCAAATCACATGTCTTTTATAGAAGGTCATATACAACCTCAAGCACGAGCCACAATAGTGGTTCACCACCTTTACTGACTCTCTACAACTTGGATTCTCAACATCACAATATACATCCTAATTTATGTAGATGATATTCTACTAAGTGATAATAACACCAGTGTCATCAATGAGCTTCTTCAAAAACTATAGAACCAATTCAACATGCATCACCTTGGTAGCATTTCTCACTTCCTCTGACAACAGGTCTTACCCACCACTTATGTATTTCATCTCAACCAATCATCATATGCACAAAAAATTCTTCATTGACTCAGTATGTCGAATTCCAAGCCCATTCAAAACTCGATAGTAGCTAGATCACCTATAACGGGCTCCTTGAATCGTTTTTCAACAATCCCACTCACTATCATCATCTTGTGGGAATTACTTAAATATCTTACCGCCACTAGACCTAGTCTTTCTCTTGCTGGAAACAAGTTGTGATAGGACATGCATGTACCTCTCAATGTCCATCATCATCTTCTCAAATGTCTTCTTCACTACATAAAGGGCACAATCACCTTCGGCCTACCCATATACAAATGCAACAACATGTTTAAACCAACTCAAACTTTGACGGAACAAGAGACCCGCATGACCAAAAGTCAATTATATGTTTCTACACATACTTAAGCAAATCCTTCATTTCCTTGTGTGTCAAGAAGCAACTACTATAGCATGCTCATTAATTGAAGCCAAAAATTGAGAGCGCTCATTACTGCAGTTACAGATATCATACGGCAGACTGCTTCAAGAGCTAGACATTCCACAACCTTCAACAACAACACTATATTGTGATAACATTTCAGCAATGCTCCTAACAAACAATCTTGTCTTCCATACTTGCACAAAGCATGTCGAAATAGACTATCATTGCATCAGAGACTACATCAAATCCAAATAAATCTCTCTTGATCACATCGCTCCTGATCAACTTGTGAACATTTGTATAAAAGCATTCTCCATCACATGCTTTCAATATTTACGAGACAAGTTGTCCATCCATGCTTCGACCTCCACCTTGCGGGAATATGATCATGTGAAAACAACATGCAGCCATTATAAAAAATCTGTCCTGAAGTCCACTACCACTGCAGTAGTAATCATCCATCCATCCATCCAAAACCACCAAATCCATATGTACCCTTCATCAAAAACAAACTATGTCCTTTCCTATCATCCTATGCTATGCCTTGTATATAAAGCAGGTTACTGTATCTCTTATAGATGTGAGAGTATAAAATGAAATGAAAGGTTTCTTCGCACAAACAGCTCTCTTTATTCCACTTCTCTCGATTTTCAGCTTAATTACCTTTATCAGGTCATTCTAAATAACAATACATTATTGAAGAAACATTACGATGAATCAAACACATTAATATAATAATATAAGCAAGTGAAAGAAGCTTGCCCTAAACTTGCCGGTGTTCCAAAAAGAAGACAGCTAAAAACTCAGAAATCGGGGAAAAAAGTATTGAAGCAATCCTGTTATACCTGGAGTAGTCCACAGAAGAACGGAAATGGAGGTAGCAATAGGAATCGCCACAGTAAGTGCTTGAGATAACAGAGGAAGCCGAGTGCGCATTGACGAAAGAACAAAGGTTGATTTAGAGGAATCAGAAGCTTTGAAGCGTCTCCCGTTTGATTTCCATATTCTCTGTGAGATTGGGGGAGAAAGATGGTCATGGAGAGCTACAGAAGATGAACGGGATGAAAGCATCGTTCTTCAAAGATGATAAGGGCCAAAGGTTCGTTTGTTATTTTCTCTTTTTGAAAAATGGCTGTGGCTTTTTGGCGAACTAAGTCCCCAACAATCGTTATTTACACTTTCGCTCTTTAAGGAAGATTCGAAAACTTGGGCCGGGGGTGCGTTTGTAATTACCCAAAAGGTGGGTTTACAATTTCATTCTCAATGATTTTAAAAAAAAAAACTTTGTATAGGGATATATAATTTGAAAATTTTATGCTTAAATTATCTTATATTTATTTGTATTATAAAATTTAATATTTCTAAAATTTGAATAAACTTTTTTGTCTCTATCATTTCAAAATTTTTAGTAAATTATTCTTCAACCAATCAATTTAAATCAAAATAAATTTAGAATCAACTAAATTTATTTTCAAATTAGTGCAATATAATTACGAAGCAGATCTAATGGCTTTCAAGCTGTGATATTATATTAAAATATTTTAACATAATGTTTTTTTTTTCATTCAATTAGTGTTATAACTTATATTATTCTTATTCATAGATAATAATTTTTATATTTAGAAAAAATATTAAAAGAAAAATAATTTTTTATGGCTTTACCATAATCTAAGAGTTGGATTTAATTTTAATTTTAATTTTGATTTTAGCTATTGAAAGATTGACTAGTAGCATATAATGAGACCATCAATTTTAATTTTAAAACAATAATTTTGATTCACATTTTATAATAAAATATCACATCATGTATATTATTACTTTTTATTTAAATTATATTTATTTTATTTCTATCAAATTATATATGTTTAATAATCTGGAACAGTCGGGACGAACCGTCGGGACGAACTGAACCTGAGAGTTTCGTCCCTTGACGACGAAATTGGCATTTAATTTCGTCTGGACGATCTGCTTCACTCTCTGGTCCAGAGGAGATCGTCCCGGGACGATCGGGAACATCGTCAAGGACGATCCTGCTTAATAAATATCTAAATAGTGTCGATTTTGAAGAGAGAGAAAGCCCAGGAGAGAAAAACGAAGGGAAAAGAAGAATAGTGGATTTTTGGGCGACTTCGACTAGTTTTCGTCGATCTCCGTAGTTGGGAAAGTTAACCGACTCGAGGTAAGGCACATTCCGCCTTTCTCAATTTACAGAAATGAGATTTTGACAACTTTTCTGTTCCGAATTTTGTTTCCGTTAGCGAATTTTTGGTGTTATTTTCTTATGACAAAGATTTTACCGCGTAACTTTTGGTATGTTTCTGAAATGATAATTGTGCACGTTTTGATTATTTTCTGGAAGATTTTTACCATATATTTTGGATTCTGCAGCATTTTAATTGATTTGCAAGTTATCAGGATGTTGAAAAATGTTACTTCAGTACAGTAAAAATCTTATAATGTTGTTGTGGATATTCTGTGGTAATTTGGTAAATTTCTGAATCTGTGAATTTTGTGTAAATTCTGTATACTGTCGTTATGCCACTGATTTTTCGTATGAATTCTAATTTTTTTGAATTGATACATTAAATGAATTAAAGTGTTTGTATGCTATCAAAAGGGAGTTATAAGGGGCCAGGATCCTTTGAGATTCTGTCTGTGTCAGGAAAATCTGAAATGAGCTCTGAAATCTAAAAATAAGTTTTGTTCCGGAATTCCGAATATATGTTCTGTTCTGTTCTGGTGCTATAAGCACAAAGGGAGGCATAAGGGGCCAGAATCCGTTGAGATTCTGTCAGTGTCTGGGAATGGAGGCATAAGGAGCCAGAATCAGTTGAGATTCTGTCAGGGTCAGAGAATCTGATGTTTGATATCTGACAATCTGTTCTTATTTTACGAATGATCTAATATGACGATTCTGGTTATTCCATACGATTCCGTCTGCTCTGTGACATGAAAGCTTTATAATATTTGTTCTGAACTCTGACTTGAAATGACTTCAGTTTTCTGTATCAGTTGTTTGATTTCTGATTGGTCAAGTATATGTTCTGTCTTTTCTATGATTTCCGTACGGCTATTTTCTGATGTATTTTCTTATGTGAATTTCTGATGATTTGGATGGGTGAGTGGTGTCTTGCTAAGCTGTTAGCTCATCCTTATTTTCTGCGTGGTTTTCAGATTCTGGGAAAGGGAAGGAGGTCTTGGACTAGAAGTTCAGAGTCTGATCTGTGATTAGGTATTTTGTATTTTTAATTTTTATACAGTCATGACTTTTCTGTTCTGTTCTGTTCTTTTTGTCTGCAGCCATGAACTGTATCTGTATATGATTATTTTGATAAAAGAAAAGATAGATGAACTGTTCTGTATTTGGATGTTTATAGTAGCACTGTGTTTTTCTGTCTATACGATATTTGGAAGAAAGTATAAAGCAAATTCCAAAGCTAGATCCTGGATTTCAATGGCTCCGTCGCGACCCGATGCGAGCGGGATCCGTCCCGGTCCGGTTGGGTTGTGACACTATAGATACTACGCAATATTCATTGATGACATCATTTGATACTGCTGTCTCTATATAATGCACAGCAAAAATGAAATGCTACTCAAATTTAAACATCTAACTAATCTAATCAACACTCATTTCCAATCTAAAATTCAAGCTCTCCGCTCCGATGGGGGAGAAGAATACGTTAGCTCTACATTCAAACAATTTCTCTTCGATCACGGCATCAGACACGAGCTCAGCTGCCCCTACACACCCGAACAAAACGGAGTTTCCGAGAGGAAACATCGTCATCTATTAGACACCGCACGAGCTCTTCTCCATACAGCAAGTCTACCACCTACATTTTGGGCTGAAGCCATCCAAACTACTAATTACCTCATCAACAAGCTACCCACATCCTCTCTTCATCATCGCATTCCACATCAACTTCTCCACAAACAAAACCCCTGCACCACCTCCACCCCTTGCCCATTATCATCCTATGACAACACGCCTTTAAACAGGACATTTAAAACCCAAAAAGATATTCGATTTACTTGTTGTAAGAGATATGTCCATCACCTCATCCTCATACACGCAAGCGCTCAAAATGCCTCACTGGCATGATGCAATGTCTGAGGAAATCTCAACCCTCATCAAACAAGGCACATGGCAGTTATCACCACCTCCTGTTAACGCTCCAGTCCTAGGCTATAAATGGACTTACCGGCTCAAGAAACATCCAGACAGCACAGTCGATCGTCACAAGGCGCGGTTAGTCGCCCAGGGATATACTCAGCAATATGGCATCAACTATAAGGACACGTTCAGTCCTGTAGCTAAAATGCCGACGATCCGCGTCTTCCTCATCATTGCCCTGCACAAAAACTGGCCCACTCTCCAGTTCGACATAGCCAACGCATTCCTCCATGGTGAGCTCAACGAGGAAGTGTATATGCAACAACCGCCAGGTTTCATAGATACTGATCACCCCCATCATGTATGCAAGCTGAAAAAGGCCATCTATGGCCTCAAGCAAGGTCCGAGGCAGTGGTTTCAAAAGCTCATGGATTTCCTGCTTCGCTTCGGATTCCAATTCAGCAAGTCTGATCCATCTTTGCTAACGTATCACTCTGCCACTACCGAGCTCTATCTGCTCATCTATGTAGATGACTTGCTCTTAACAGGAAACCATCCACCCACAATTCAGAAGCTTCTGCTTCAGCTACAACAGAACTTTGCGCTCAAACAAATGGGCTCTGCCAGTCTCTTTCTCGGCATTCAGATCGACCATACAAAGTCCAGCCTCTTTCTGCAACAGTCTCATTACGCCCGTGAGCTCCTTCATGCCTCTGGATTCGATCTATGCAAACCCGTAGCAACCCCGCTTTCACCCAAATGCTTCAGATCATCTCCAGACAATCCATTATTTGGTGAACCAACTCTATATCGTCAGTTGGCAGGCTCTCTGCAGTACCTGACGGTCACTCGACCGGACATTGCATTCGTCACAAACGTAGTCTGCCAGCATATGCACGCTCCCACCCTCAAAGATTTTCAAACCTTAAAGCATCTCCTCAAATACATTCAGGGCACCCAAAACTATGGCATCCCCTTCTCCACCGGCGACCTGACACTTACATCCTACAGCGACGCCGACTGGGCATCGGACACATCCGACTGCAAATCTATTTCAGGATTTTGCACATTTCTCGCGGGCAATCTAATTTCCTGGAGTGTGAAAAAGCAAACAATAGTGGCGAAATCCTCCACAGAGGCTAAGTACAGATCGCTCGCCGCAGCAACCATAGATGTACTCTGGCTGCGCCGCTTACTGCAAGATTTCCAAATACCTCAGCTTCAACCAACGCCGATCTACTGTAACAGCATCTCTGCGATTGCTCTCGCGCACAACCTTGTATTCCACGCTCGGACGAAGCATATTGAGATCGATCACCATTTCATCAGTGATCACATCAAACATCGCAACATTGAGGTCTCTCATATCAGCTCCTCCGATCAACCAGCTGACATACTCACCAAAGCTCTTCCGACAGCCCGATTCACCGAGCTCAGATCCAAACTGACCATTCGGCAAGCCAACGGTCACTTTGAGGGGGGCTGTTAGCACAACAAACGGCCACTTACCATAATCATTTTCCACTTCACGGTCCAGAGCACTAGTCTGACCTGGCAGACTGTTGCCAACGACCTCTGCTTCTCCAACCGTCTCCTTCCCTCAGCTCTATATAAACACTGTATTCGAACCAGAGTATTTTATGCCTTTGGAGATAGCTCTCTCCATCAATGAAGCTTTCTAAGTTTTCTATCTGCTATTTCTATTATCTTTAAATACTTGCAGGTCTATTACGAGCATGGGTTGGAGGGTTTTCAATTGTACTCGCCATCAACCAAATTAAGCATATAGTTATATAAAAGCTAAATGAATGACTTATTAGTTCTGCATAGATGTCCTATAATGCCTACTTTTAGGGTATTATATGCGCTTTACCAATATTTTGAGGAATTATATCATGGAAAGGCAAATTATATCTCTAAGACTTTGATGCCATATCATATAAATAGATAATTAAAAATCTGCCGACACAAGGGAAAAGGGACATTCTAGAAGCTCAGCTTGCCCAGTGAAGAATATTCAACTCCCCAACGGCCATTATTAAATCTCCCATTCTACATCACAAATTTATTTATTTTTTATTTAAATGAGAGACCAAAATAATAAAGTATGATTTCACCTTCAAGTGGCCAAATCATCCAAAAATATAAAATAAAAACTGGTCCACATAAATTATGAGTGGCAACCAAACCAACACGCATTCTACAATTATTGATATTATAAAAATAAAAAAAATTAATTTTTTTTATAAAATATTCGATATATAAATAAATAAAAATTAAATCATATAATTACTATTTTAAAAAATTATTTTAATTGCAAGTAAAATAATGCCATACAAAAATTCAGATATTCTCTTGCATCTAAAAAATAATTTTATTATTCTCTAAAATTATATGAATAATTTACATATATATCATACAATTCTTATATATTTACATATTTAATACATAATTTTTATATTATTTTTATAATATCTAAATCCTTAAATAAATATTAACTTTAATTATTAAATATATAAACATAAAAAAGTATGTGATATTTATGTAATTATAAACATTTATCTTCCTATATAACGAAGCGAAGACTTCTCCTCCTCCCACCCTCATCATTCATCAAAGTCTTTTCTCCTCTCCACCTTCTATCCTAGCCATGGCCACAGACCCTGAAAGAACAGAAACCCCAACTGATTCCATCCACCACAAATCCTCCTCCTCCGATCTCTTCTCAAGCGCAAAGGTACTGGCTGACGCCGCCAGATCCGCCGTCAGCCATGACGGCGGCGCCCTCGATAAGCCGAAGGTGGCTGAGGCCAGCGAAGACGTCCTCGACGCCGCCTCTGAATATGGAAAGCTCAAAGAGAAGGGCTATGGAAGCTATGTAGATAAAGCGCAAGGTTATCTTCATCAGTTTCACTCTTCAGATCAGAAGCCCGCTCATCCTCCACCTCCTCATGAGGAGAAGTCAACTCCCAAAGAAAAGTCAACTGATCCAGTTGAACAGTCAACTCCTGAAGAGCATAAGTCATCTGGCGGCTTTGGTGGATTTGGAGATTACGTTAACGTAGCAGAGGGCTTCTTCAAGAAGTAACTGTATGTTTAAGCTACTATATATATATATATATGCTTGATATTATATTTTTATTTTGGTAAAAAAGTGTGGTAGAATTGTAATTGTAGTTTTATTTGTTGGAACTATGTGCACTTGAGTTGACTTAGTGAGTGATGCTATGTGAAATTAATGAGAATTTCATGTTTATTTTTGGTTTGATTAAAATAATTTCTACTGTTAATTGGGCTTCCCTAATATGAAGTTTTTCTGAAAAAAAAAAAAAAAAATCTTTTTATGTAATTATGTATATATATTTTTGACACCTGAGTGCTGCATAAGTAAAAAAAGTAAAGTTTAGAGATTTGATATGTAAATATAAAAGAATCATGTGGTATAAATGTAAATTATCTATCCATCCAATGTATTTTTCTTAACTTTTATAAAATATTAAGGTTTCTTTTGGGACAACTTTCTTACTATTTTCTAAATTAGTTTTTAGTATTGTACGGTATCAAAAAATTATCTTGATCGGGCACGAATCTCGAGGCAAAAATCAAGTTGGAAACTTCAAAAATTAAATCCGGGATCATCTGAACTCCGATTTCTGTAAACTTAATGTCGAACTGATCGTCTCGAAAATACGAACCCAACGATACCAAAATCGACTCAATCCGAGCCCAAATGAGTCCAAATCAAGGACCCAAAGAGCTGTTGGAAGGTTCAAACCACAAATTGAGTTATCAAACGGTTTCCAAACACAACGATCTTATAGTCTAATCGAGCGACTCGACGAGACAAATCCAATGAGCCCGAGATCGTCGAATTCTGAAATCATTAAGACCTTCAAATGTCTGCTGAATGGCCCACGATCAAGGGATTCAATATCAGTCGTCCATTCAAACCACTCCCGATTCGCCCCTGATCTCTCACCTATTTACAGGTCATGCCACTCTATAAATCTATAAATAGACCTCTCATTTCTCTTGTGAGGGGGCAGAAGCAAGAGAAGAAGGAGAAGGAAAGAAGGATAGGAGGGAAGAACTCCTCGACTACTGCCGCAGGAATTCTGTCCAAGTGACGCCAGAATTCCGCCCGACCTCCAAGTGACGCCAGAATTTCGTCCGACCTCCAAGTGACGCCGGAGTTCTGTCCGAATACCATCTAACGTCATAATTCTCCTCGGCCTCCAACTGACGTCAGACTTCTACCCGACGCCGGACCTCCGCTCGTCGCTAAGTTTCTACCCGATGTCGGACTTCTGCCTATTGTCGGACTTTCATTAGACATATATATGATGTTGGATTTCTCTCCATTGCTGGATGTCTACCTGACGACGTCTTTCTGGCCTCTATCGCCAGACAACAGTCCTTCTGACTAACGTCGCCCACCGACTACAGTCCTTCTGGCCTCCGTCGCCTGCCGACAACAGTCCTTCTGACTAACGTCGCCCGCCAACTACGGTCCTTCCGGCCTTCATCACCCGCCAACAATGGTCCTTCCGACTTATGTCGCCCGCCGACTACAGTCCATCCGACCTCTGTCGCCCGCCGACTACGGTCTTTCTGACTTACGTCGCACACCGACTACATTCCTTCAAACCAAACAAACACATAAATAATGATGCTATGTATTCTCACCATGTAATGCACTCTAAAAGATATACATCAAGCTAAGGCCTTCCCTCGAGGAAGGACCTCATTTGTAATCAACTACAATACTAGTGGATTCATTTAAACTGAGCTAGTCCCGTGATTTTTTCCCTTTTTAGGGGTTTTTCACGTAAAAATCTTGCTGTCTCTAGTGGATGACACACCCTCTCTTTTATCTGATTGCGTGCCAGATTTTCGTACAATGCTAAGACATTAAACTTTATATTTCTCTACCGCCGCGAATACACCTGGACGCAACAAGTATAAAATTTTTAAAAAATTTATACTAAAAAGTTAATTTAGAAAGCAATAAGAAAGTTGTCTCAAATAAAGCTTAAATTTAAGGCTTCATTTGGGATGGCTTTTTTACTATTTGAAGTAACTTTTTAGTTACTTCAAGAAGTAATAAAAAACCGTCGCAAACAAAATCTAAAACTCTGATTTATAATAGTTGAAGCATGTATTGCTTCACAAAAAAAAAAAAACATTAGGCTTCAATCATATACTCTAACAATGCTTATGCAGAATGCTTGGCAGCAAATAGTTATAAGTTCTTCTTAAAGATAAATATATTCATTATATGACCTTTTATCCTTTGAACATTTAAGATATAGAAATTTATTTCATAGCCATACTGGTTTTGAATTCAACAAGTTTAGTAGATATAGTTTGATTCAATGAATCTAGATGAATATGGCCAAAATGATGTGAATGCTAGGCCAAATAAGCATAAATCAAGCATTTAAAAGTATAATCGAAATTTTTTAAGGCATTTTGTATGTTTGTAGTTGAAATAGTGTTTTGATTAGACGAATCCATTGAGTCTAAGAATGTACAATTCTAACTTTGTTGACTTGTCGATATGCCCAAAATTATGAAAAGATATCAAGGTTACATGTTCGCATCATCCGATTAAGGAGATGGAAGTCTAGTAGAAAGGATGAGAACATCTTAAAATATTGGAATAGTCTATATTTCTACTAAATTAAAAAGGACACGAAGATTTCGGAGCCCACCTCCTTCTAGGTCATCGCTTGTGGCTAATTATTGACTAACACTCGACACCCACTATCAAGTATAAACCAACACATATATGTTCCTTGTTAGTAGTCATATGACACATGCTAACATTGGTGTTGGTTGATATCTACCAAAAAACAACATTAGATGTGCTTCAATCATCAACCTCTAACATAAATCCCTCCATTAATTCGCCTTATCCACCCTCCTATTAAAAAATGACCAAATTGGTCGTCTACCATCTCACAACTTTTGATATCCTCTACACAATGTGCACAAAGATAAGTGTCACGTTTTTATTGGAGTCCGAAGTATATTCAAACTTTGCACATAATAATTTCTCCTATGTTTAAAATAGATGCAACATTTTTAAAACTCAATGTAATGTAGATCAAGATTTTAATATTAAGATATAAAGATTATATCTTAAAATTTTGTTAGAATATCAATTTTGATGAATGTTCAATAATTTTAGTAAAATTTTATTTAAAAAAAAATCTGTGAATTCTGCATGATACTCTTTCAATTTCACCCATAGTCTGATTAAACTTCTCAAGACAAACCAAAATAAAAATATGAATAATTTTCAATATAAATAACAAAAGTTACTGAAAGCTAAAACCAGTAGCATCAATAATTTTCTGAGAAAAATATTTAGGCAGCTATGCATTGCATGTCATGCATTACACTTGGTATTTATTTTGAAATAGGTGTTAGAGTTATAACCCTGTCAAATTAGGTGTAAAGTATTTCAAATGTTGAGGTTTTGAAAATTTTAATATTTAGTTAGATGAAAAAGGAATACAAAATAAAATAAAGTAAATATAGTATGAATCATTCTAGTTCAATTTCTAGGTAAGGCAAACTAGCACAGTTTTGAGCAAAATTTATTTACACCAAAAGCAAGTTTGTTTTATCATCGCCAACCATTGCCAGCCACCGGCGCAACACTTGCCAGACCCACCACCATTATCGACTGTCGTCAGTCACCACTACCGTTGTTGACCACCACCTCCAGTTACTATCTTCAACGGCGCCATCTCCACCCGCCACCGGCAACCGTCGTTGCCGCCGCGCTACCCGCTATTGGTCACCACCTTCTGCTTTCGACTTTCGCCGCCGCCACCGCCAATCGATCATCACTATTTTCAAACTTTACATTACATTCATTTAACTTCAAACCAAACGAAAAAAAAAACATTAAACTGAATTTACTTTACACTTATATATCCAAATAACTCAAAAAAATATTCCTTTTACATTGTTTTCCATTTAAACTGATATTTCTTTTTTAGTCAATCAAAGAGCCATAATAATTTCTTATGTAATTTATAATTGATTTTGGGACTTCATAGTTGATATAAGGGAATAGTGGGTAGCACTAACAAGAAAATTTGAAGAATAAATGGGCATATTTGCAAATAAATAATTAGTGACAGACTAAACTCAAAAATATTAGAGACTAAAATATAGAAATTTGATTGCTTATATTTGAGATCTGATCATCCTCAAACCTATAAGTGGAAAGAACAAATTGTTTTAAAATACTATTCATATCAGAATATATCCCACTGAAATTTTTCTTGGATGAAAATTTATTTTGTAATGAATATAATATATAATTAATTAATTATACTTAGAATTTTGACCATCACTTAATATTATATATATAGTAAACTAAAATTTTCATTCCCCCAAGAAAAGCTTAAAAATATAATTATAATTTAATACCAATCAATAAATAGGATAATTATATTAATTAACTCTAATATATAATTAATATTCTTAATCATTATCTTTACATAGGAAATCATTAACAAATTATAGATGATCTTTGCCAAACATTACCAAAAAAATCTCAAGGCATCTTGAATGCAATGTATTAGTCCCACTTAAGTAATAATAAGTAGATTGTTATGGAGAGATATCTTGAATCAGAACTAAAAATAATAAAAATTTTGATTTATTGAAATAGATTTTAGATCGAAGTTTGTAGTCGAGGAAAAGAGTCAAGCCGAAATTGAGTCACTCTTAACTTGATCTTGAGTTTGATTAATTAATCGAGCATGAACTTTATTCAATGAGTTCAAGCCAGCACCCGTTTATTATGAAAGAGAGAATGTTATTATTTAAGCAATTACTATAATAAAATGATAAAAAGAATGAAAAACTATAAGAAAAATAATAAAGAATCATAGTAATATAAGAGAGTGAAATATAATATTCAAACATTTTCAATAACTTTATACTTAAAAGTTAAAACTCTAAATATTAGTATTTTGAAGTATATTGTATATTACTATTTTTTAAACGAACAGCTAAGGAGCTAACGAGTCGAGTAGGGGTAGACTCAAATTTGGCTCGTTAACTCATCAAGATAGATTCACGAGCTATTTATCGAGCCGATTCTGAGCTGGTTCACGATTCAGCTTGACTCACTTACTGACAGTATAGTAAGTTACTGTGAAACCCCTTAAATAAAAAGAAAGCTAACTCTTAAACATCGATATGCCTTTTGGTGTAATGACTGAAATTTTCGTAAGAAAATCCACATTTGTTCATCCCGGAGCAATTCTGGGATGGGTAACCTACTGGGAAGTTATACCAACAGGACAAAACCGTGAGAATCTTAGGCCAAAACAGATAATATCTCGATTGTTAAGAGTTTGGATTGTTACACTTACACCCATATAAGCTTGTATACATAGATAGCCAAAGTTGGATTCCTAATCAAATGGCATCACTTCATAAGTTAAGAAGAAGGAAAGATATCGCCACTGTGGACGAGGACCCTCAGTGTACCTGTCTAGTGGTTGCTGCTAACTTCACTATAAGAAGATGATATGCTATCATATTGTCTATGTTATTTGTAAACCTTTTTTCCATATTCATTAGCATAATTAATGAATGATCTCTAATATCATATTAAGCTATCCTTAATGGGTTATAAAATGATGCACTCAATGTATATTAGTATAAGTTTATAGAACTATTTTTAAAGATAGTACTTACAAGTAATTAGAACTCTGACAGAATAGTTAGTTTGTTTAGATAGAAATTTTATGATTTGTAGAGAGCCTTTAGAGGTTGTTTTTCCTATGAGTACCTCATTATCTTTATTCCAAGTAAAAAAGATGAAATGGTGACATTTTGAGCTTAAATTAGGGGTTTCTTTTGAAGAAGATTTCAAGTGTTCTTCAACTAGATCACTTGATAGCTACTTCAAGAATGATATAAAAAAAAAGAGAGAGGACTAGTTGATTTATATAATGATGAAGTAAAAATAAAAAAAAATGGAGATGTGAAGAGTGATCAAAAGGGTGTTGAAAGCACCGACAGAAGTGAAGTCAATGTGAACTACAACAACAATCAAATTATTTGACATTAATGATGATGTTATGAATCAATGATATCCTAGTTCCTTCACCAAAACGGACCTCAATAGGGGGTGACACTACTATTGGAGGCGCTTGGAGGTAACGGAGGAAGGTTGTCAGGGTTGGAGATGATTACGGTGATGTTCGAAATGACAATGAGGTTGAGCGCTATCCTTTCTTTTTTTTCGGACAGATTAGGAGATTCGAGCGTGGGATCGCAGCGAGGAATTGCTTCCGCAGACCAACAAGATGCAACAAACCGCAATCCCTTCTTATGTTACTCTACCTTCAATTTGTGTCATCACTGCATATCGAAGATGACTAATTTGTTGTCTTCAATGGGCTCCACCTTCTTAATCATCTTGCCTACCACCTCAAGGTCACCCACATTCACCTCTAGTAAAAAGAAAAAAAAAAGGTGATTTTCTCCTTTTAACTCATTAATTTTCTTCATCTCATCAACGTGATAGCCACAAGGACAAGCTATTATATGTTCTGTTTTCATGACTTATCCCAATATAGGTAAGGGCAATCCTTTGTAACTCGTATATGTATTAATGATAAATGTTATTTTAAGTGGACAATGGCCAATATAAATCAAGTTATATTCAACAAAATCAATAAATAAGCTCAAATAATGAGGAGCAAATAAGTTATATTCACATTTTAGAAGTTCAAGCTCAGAGCAAGGCCTACAGCTCTTAGTTTCACATTTCAACAGTGTATTTCAATTATGTTTAAAGAAGTTTTCTACTAACAATACACAAATCAGATCATTATATGCCACATAATAAACATTTCAATTTGATTAAGGCTTCATTTAAGACGACTTTCTTACTACTTCTTAAAGCGGCTTTATAGTTCAAAATTTAAAATTTTAATACTAGAAGCTTCTTTAAGAAGCAGTAAGAAAGCCGTCCCAAACGAAGTCTAAATACCGAAAAATTGAATCATCTGCTCATAACTTGATAGCTAGTCAAATTTTGTTTCAGTAGTGCAGACTTAACAAAGAGAACCTTCAGCTTGAGCAAACAAGCCTGCACCTGCACAAGCATACTTCAGCCTTTGATAGAAATATAGTTTAGTTCAGAATTAGAGTCTTCAAATGAAAAATAAACCTTAATTATAAGTAATTGAACATTAATTTCTTACTTAATTACCACAATAACTCATATTTCTGCTATAATAACTAGAAAACAAGCTAAAAACAGTTTAGTTATCAGATCAAATACATTTTTTCTCTATTAAAGTAAGGCATGTTGATGAAAATAAAACTAGTTGTTTCAGCAAAATTGTCAGTTTCTTCATTGGCTTGCACAAAGTTTTATTTGTCCATATCAGTTTATCTTCTAGTGAATGAAAGAACTATTAGGATTATAACATGTCTTATAGCTGAAACCATCAAACCATTAGAACCTCTAAGTTTCTATCTTTTCTTAAAAAAATTTGAGAATTTGCAAATTTAGAAAGCTGAAGTAAAACTTAACAAAGAAAAAGGTTTTGCTTCTTCTGTTTTTGTAAGCTTCACAGTAAGGAGAGATTATTATGAGCGAATATCGGACACAATTTATCATCCAGAGGTGAATTAGGTGCAGCCACATCATCCAGTACCGAGCTCAGTACCGAGCTCGGTACCGAGCAGTACTGAGCCGCAGTACCAAGTAGGAGATGATGTGGAGCAATTTCATTGGGCTCTGAACGGCGTTTGGCATCCGCACAGAATAATTCATCCAGTAAGGCAGAAGCAAGGCATAGTAAACCCCAGTCAATAACCGGTATTGTTCATGTTGGATTCTAAGGATGATAATGAAGGACAGCATGGGCAGGAGAGAGCAGTATTGTCTTATCTTTTGGTGGGCAATTTAATAACCAATTTGAGATCATTTTTTAACTAACACTTGTATTTCTTCAGAAGGTTGACAGAAACCATTAACAAGTGCTTGTTGGCGATGATTTCAAAGGGCAAAAGTTTTCTAAAGATTAAGAGAAGGTATTCTAACTTATCTGAAAATAATATATTATTAAATGATCATCATCATCATTAGTTTAATTCTAATTATTTGTTAATCATCTTCTCCAATGATGGTAAAAAGAACAAAAAAAAAAATCCTCTCTCTCTCTCTCTCCCTCTTAGCACTGAAACAGAACTTTTTTGAACCTAAACACTTGAAAAGTCAACTTGCAATGAAAAACTTAACAAAAGTTGGCCAATTATGAGAGAAGAAGCCAACCAACCTTTGGCAATCTAAAGTTTTCTTTGAAAGATTAACAGAAATTCTCAAAAAATTGTAAAAGTTAACAGATTTTGTTCAACCATTTGCTGAAAGATTACTTCCTGTTTCTAAGAAAAAATAATATAAAATTCGAATTAAAGAACAGATTAGCAGTAACAAGAATGTGCAGCAGCAATTTAGCTTCTTAATCGAGTAATCAGCTACTTCACTGGATCATTTCTGTAAGAACACCTCAAATGTCCTGAACTGAGGATGAAATGAATGAATAGCCGATTCAAATTCAAAGGAGAATTCGAACAGATTTCGCATGAGACTACGTAAATTTCAAATGCCTCAGACGCAATCTTCAATACTTCCACTAGAATTATCATAAATTTCATCATCAAGAGCAGGAAGGTTGAGATCAAGTGAATCAAGGATAGAACTCTTCTGTTCTATCTCAATTACTGCAGGTGAAGCTTGAACAGCATCAGCAAAAGCAGCATTGTTTGCTGGAACCAAGTGTGATCTCTTATGACCACCAAGAGCTTGACCAGATGCAAAAATTCTGCCACAAATTGAGCACATATGGCTGTTCTTAGTAGTCTTTGATCTTTGATTCTGAATTTTGAGTTCTCCAGTTCCTTGAATTTCAGATAAGGAACTATCTGTGATCTTCTTATGGCTTGCCATGTGACCTCCAAGAGCTTGGTAAGAATGAAAGCTCTTGTTGCATAACGTACAATTATATGTGCTTCTCTTTCCAAGCCCTGCAACAACAGGATTGAGATGCTTCTTATCGGGAGAGGCCTTTGACTTCTTTAGTTTATGGGAAAACTCAGATTCAGTCTGAAAAGATTGGACCTTTTTGAGCTCATTCATTCCAAAATCATATTTTTGAAAAGATTGAACATTTTTTAGCTCATTCATTTCAAAATCGGATGCTGTGAAACCTGAATTGTTTCTCTGCTTCTCCACCTCCTCTTCTATTACAATTGAAACTTTATCAGACGAATTTGTAACAGACTCGGTGCCTCTTGATAGCATCAGCAGACAAAAAGCACCCAACTTTATCTCATTCTCATCTTCCGGCGATAAATCCGGTGATCTCCTCCTCTTCCTCCGCTCTCTAGCCGGAAAAACAACTGCAGTAACTTGGCTTTCAGATTCGCTCTGCATTCCATCTTCTCCCTCTTCATAACTTTCATTACTCTGTAAATCCTCCTCTTTTTCCTCGAATTCCTCATCCTCCTCATCATCTTCATCAACCTCCACGCTAAGAACATCTCTTCTCGTCTCAGAATGACATTTCGTATGCTTAAAAAAAGAACTCCATGAACCGAATCCTTCCCCGCAATTATTACAAAGCATATCCCTCTCTTTCTCCTTCAACCTCCATGATTTTCTCGGATTCTCTCTAAGTCCATACGTACACATTGGCTCCTCCTCAGATTTCAGCACAGCATGAGACCTCGTGTGCACTGCAAGCGATCTAGTACTCGGGAAGCTTCGTCCGCAAACTTCACAGCGGACCGTCTCCATTTCAAATAGGAAAATCAGACCAAAACTGATCAGGGAAGCAGAGTTTAAGTTGAGAAAAAAACCAGAACTCAAACTAATCCCTACGATCCAACGAATTTCTTTCTATCCTCTCATTTTGAATCGATCAGAAGATAAAAAAAAGCTTAGAATTTGGCGAGCTTCTTCGACAGCAATGAGATTACCTATAGTTAAGCTCGTCCTCTACTTTGCTTCTTTTCCTCAATAACTCAATATCTTTTTATGGAATAGCTCTGAATTCTTCAAACAGAGAGAAGTTGATTCCTATTTCTGTGTAGTTTGTGCGGTTGGATGAGAAATCCATGCATGAAAGCAAAGGTTGGAAGAAAAAAACGGAAGAGAAGCCCAAAAGGGCTGCACGTGTACCTCACTAAGGACTCTACGGTGGTGAATTGGACGGCCGTGATTAAGCCACGTATTACCTCCGGTGGATTGGTGGAAGAATTATAGTTTGTTAGTGCGCATTTATATAATTAAATGTATTTACATCTAATATTTAAGTTTTAATATATGTTTATATAATGTAATATTTTAGTATCAACCATATCAAAATAAATGCATAAAAAATAAATTTATTTTACATTAAAAAGAGACATTAATCATATTGTTATGCAATTTAAAATTTTAATTGTTAGATTTATAGTAAAAGAGGTATGAAATATTCTAAATGTAATATTTTTTAAAATATTGATATTTGGTTTGAAATATAATACAACTTTTAATATATTTTGGAGATTTTACATACATATCATTTTATATCATGCTATTTGCATATATAACACCTAAAACTTTAATATTTAATGCCTACAACCCATAGATCAAATATGGGCGTAAAAATTAAAATATTGAAGTTTATAGAGTTGTATGATCAGTGATAGAAATGAAATATAGGAGTGGCATATTTGATATTAAAGTTGTATATGCGTGGTAGTCATGAAATATTAAATTTTTTTAGTGTTATATATATAAATAGCATAATATAAAGTGATATGTATGCAAATCTCATTACATTTTTTATGTATTTAAAATCATTAGATTTGATTTATTTTTAAATAAGCTATAAGTTCTTTTTCATTTTTGCCAATTGGTGCCACATGTCATCACCATTGTTGGTCGTCGGCCCTACCACCTCTCTCCATAGTCTTCATCTTAACAATGGCCACAACAGTCGCCACTAACCGTCGATCAGAGTGATCACAGAATTTCATAGATAACATATATCATATAAATAAATGGGTTAAAAAGCTGGGCCCAAATTAGACCTATTGGCAACTCGAATTTGATCCAAACTTCATTTTAATTAAAAAAACTTATAACACATTAACTATAAAATTTAAGTTAATTGATCCAAAGTAAAAACAAACATACCAAGTAAAATAATTTAAGGAAAAAAATGAAATGAATCACTATCAAGCTCATGGGTCAACTCGAACCTAATCGCCACTTAAACAAGTCAGAATTTGGTAACTTAAATTGTGGTACGAGCTTTCCAACAGCGCTTCGGGTGCTTGATTTTGGCTCATTTGGGCTCGGATTGAGTTGAATTTGGTGTCGTTGGGTTCGTATTTCCAAGACGCTCAGTTTGACTATAAGCTCGCTGAAATTGAATTTATGAAGTTTGCAACTTGATTTTTGCGCCTAGATTCGTGCCCGATAAAGTAATTTCATGATGACGTATCAATCATGTTATTTGCATATATAACACCTAAAACTTTAATATTTAATGCCTACAACCCATAGATCAAATATGGGTGCAAAAATTGAAATATTGAAGTTTATAGAGTTGTATGAGTGATAGAAATGAAATATAGGAGTGACATATTTGATATTAAAGTTGTATGTGCGTGGTAGGCATGAAATATTAAAAATTTTTAGTGTTATATATATAAATAGCATGATATAAAGTGATATGTATGCAAATCTCATTACATTTTTTATGTATTTAAAATCATTAGATTTGATTGATTTTTAAATACACTATAAGTTCTTTTTCGTTTTTGCCAATTGGTGCCACATGTCATCACCATTGTTGGTCGTCAACCCTACCACCTCTCTCAATAGTCTTCATCTTAACATTGGCCACAACTATCGCCACTGACTGTCAGAGCAATCATAGAATTTCATAGATAACATATATCATATAAATAAATGGGTTAAAAAGTTGGGGCCGAATTAGACCTATTGGCAACTTGAATTTGACCCAAAATTCATTTTAATTAAAAAAATTTATAACACATTAACTATAAAATTTAAGTTAATTGATTAAAAGTAAAAACAAACATAACAAGTAAAATAATTTAAGGAAAAAAATGAAATGAATCACTATCAAGCTCACGGGTCAACTCAAACCTAATCGCCAATTAAACACGTCCAAATTTTTATCCAAATATGTCCAATTTATTATATATATGCATACATATCATAATTAAATAAATAAGGTTTTTTATGACAATTTGATTAATTGATATCATTGATTGCTCATAAAGAAAAAAAAATATATTATTGATTGGTCATTTGTGTATTTACAAGGGGGGAATAATATTAGCAAGGGAGGGGATTTTTATTATAGGTCAATTTTTCTTTCATTTAAGTATATTAATGTAATTAAAAATAATTTGCATTTAGATCTATCCACATTTAGATAAATTGCATAAAATCAATGGAAGGTTTCTTGATAGAGAAATTCCCATTTTTTAGGACATTTTGATAATTTATGAATAATTAGGTTGACATTTGCTTAATCAAGACTCTTTATATTTTATTCATCTAATTAAACAAATTTAAGCATAATTAAAGAATCTCAACATTTAAATGAAAAAAATTAAATATAATAAAGCAATTGATTGAACAAATAGATTATAATTTTAAAATTAACACATCAGAAATATTTATTAAATTTGATTATAATATGAAGTTCATATAACTTTTTTAAAAAATAATTTTCAGATACTCAAATTCAACTGAAATAGACAAAAATAAATAAAGAAATAATTTAAATATAATGGTATTTGACACTGTCTTCAGCGTTTATTTTGAAGAGGCAAAGTTCTTGCAAGAATTTGAGCAACTGCACCATTGGCTTGGCGTTTCTCTCATGTCTCTTCTGTAGTTCTGTAGATGTTGCTCGCAGCCTACGCTGGCTTCTTCAGGGATTTAAAAAGATATGAAAGGCTTTTTTTTAGTATGAATTATTCTGTGCGGATATCTTACTGGGAGCACCGTCTGATTTGTCTCAATCAGATGGTTATTTCCGTCCGATGTCCGCACAGAATAATCTCTCTTTTTTTAGGCAGCTTTCTTATTATTTTTTAAAGCAGTTTTTTAGTACAAATATTTTTTGAACTAGTAATTTTCGTACTAAGAAGTTACTTTAAAAAACAGTAAGAAAGTTGTTCCAAACAAAATTTAAGATAATTGTTGAGCGAAAATTTGGGCTGTATTTCTATGTAGATAGATAGTGTTCTCCACAATCATACCAAACACAACGATATTTTCATTGTGATGTTTGGTTCGGTTGAAAATAAGAAGGCGATTTTAAGATGCCTTTGGGGTACGTTAGCATTGAAGAAAATATGGTGTATGGACTTGAAGAAGAAGCTTCATTTGAGACGATTTTTTTATTACTTTTTTAAAATAATCTTTTAGTATAAAAATTTAAAATTTTTACCTAAAAATTTATTTTAAGAAGCAACAGAAAGTAGTTTCAAATGAAGCCTAATATAAATCCATTATACATACTCCTGATCAGCCTATCCAAACAAGAGAAGTAAAGAGGAAACTGAACACTCTTGCGATAGTGTTCAGTTCCTCTTTACTTCAATAAATTCAAACAAAATTCGAACAAAATTTATTGGATTGTATGCCATATCCCACTTCTTATAAAATTCATGAAATTTTTAAGTGCTTTCATATGTTGGTTAAGGCTTCATTTGGGACTGTTTTTTTACTATTGTTTATAGCAATTTTTTAATACAAATATTAATTTTTTTATACTAAAAATGATTAAAGAAAAAAAGTAAAAGAACCATCACAAACGAAACCTAAATAATATATATCATATATGAACTATTTTTCTCTGTATTTTCTTAGAAATGGAGAAGGGCCACAACAAATGAGATCCCTACTTCAAAGGGAAAGATAATTCATTTAAAATTTTTAAAAACATTCCAAAAAGTTATATCCGATCGCAAATATAATACTATAAGATTTACTTTATAAGTTTCATTATTTTATATTTCCCTTAACTAATATTCACAATAATTTCACAAACAACTTTACAAAATACTGTCAACAGCCAAAACTAATCCCATTCTAAGCATTAATTTGAAAGTTTTTCAGCGATATATTTCAATTTTTAATTGATAGATTACCCATTAAATTATTTATCTTTAATTAAAACAAAAAAACAATTCTACGTGAAATTATTCTGTGCGGTCACCAGCAGGGGCGGAACCAGCTTCAATTTTGAGGGGGCAAGTACAATACATAAGTTATTTAAAAAAATTAAGCAATAAAAAAAAGTGTAATTAGATTGTCATGAAAAACACGGAATAAAATATTAGAACTAAATTTGAAGAAATATATAAACATTTTAAGACAAAATAATTTTTTAGAGGGGGCAAAAGTTATTTTTTAGGAGGGGCAAAAAAAAATCTCTATAAATTCTTTTTTTTCTTTCCTATAAAAAAATTTTTTTTTTAGGGGGGACAACCCCCCCCGTCATGAAAAACACGGAATAAAATATTAGAACTAAATTTGAAGAAATATATAAACATTTTAGGACAAGTTAGGACAAGAATTTTTTAGAGGGGGCAAAAGTTATTTTCTAGGAGGGGCAAAAAAAAAATTCTCTATAAATTTTCTCTCTTTCCTATAAAAAAAAAAAAAAAAAATTTTTTTGAGGGGGTCAATTGCCCCCCCTAAGCCTAAAGTGGTTCCGCCACTGGTCATCAGACGTCGTCCTAAAAAAAATTTTTTTGAGGGGGTCAATTGCCCCCCCTAAGCCTAAAGTGGTTCCGCCACTGGTCATCAGACGTCGTCCTAAGACGGATAAGGATACGCCACATCACTTTTTAGCTATGTACCGGTGATGTGTATTGTTGTGTACCGAATGACGTGACGCATTCTGATTCACCTCTAGACCGTCCAGTGACCGCATAGAATAATCTCTCCAATTCTACAGCATGAGTTTCCGTGCATACATAGAAGGACAACTGACAAAAATGCTACAAGATATTGCCAAAACAAGAGCTTACAAATCAAAACAATAAAACAGTATTTCTAATGAATACTGGAAGGCTAAGAATATTTCTCTTAATTTTCTTAGAGTCCATTACATTTTTTCCTTCCATATAAAAATAAAAATATAAAGAAAGGTTAAAATTATAAAATAAAAAAAAATACAATAGAAAAAATTTGAACTTCTGCATATGCGCATCTAGCAGAATCATGAAATTGTGATTTTAAGAAGATAGGACCTGGCCTACCTAAACTGCGACATGGATTTACAGTGAAAAAATGGATTGAGATTGATCCACCAGTATGGAATACCTGAATGCAGCGAGTATTTCCAGCCGTTTCAGAGCAATTCAGGAACCATCTCTTGCAGCTTTTCCCTGAAGAGATCCCTTCACAAAGACCTATTCAATTACATTGTGAGTTGGAAAGCAATCAATATCTTCATTGTTTGCTCCAACAGAGTTCATTTTCCAGGGTTTTGAATCACCATGGGCGTTACTATGCTCATAATCAGCCATGTTTAGGATTCCATCATCTCCACATTCCAAGATATTCAGACCCTCATAGGAAGTAGAGGAGTCAACTTGAACATGTTGATTCTCAGCAGAATCTGTTGAGTTTCTATCAATGGTTTGTATGGCCGAACCTTCGTCCCCCTCGATTCCGACGAGAGGCTCCTCGCATTCCTCTTCTCCTTCTTCGGACAACGGAAATTCAACGTCGCTACTTTCTTGCCACTCATCATTGTCGCTGTCCACGTTCGACCGATCGAACCGGTTCTGATGGGCCCGTTTACGGAGCACGAAAACATTGAAGTAGTAGCTGACCAACTCTTTAAAACTGGTGGATGGAAAAGCCTTGCGGAGCGCTGCCCAGAAGTTCCTTCCTGCTGATTCAGGATTTGATAACACCACTTCATGGAAAAGATTTTCCTCCTCTTCAGTCCATGTTTGGGCAACACTCTCTCCCATGTGGGAAAATCCCATTTGTATGAACTCTTCCTGTCCCAATGCTCTAATAAGATTTTCCCTGGCTTCCATCACATGCTTCCTCACACAGTTGATGGAACCTTCATCAGTGCAATCACAAACAATCTTACAGCTTGGAACATCCTTAGCAATGGAGTCGCGGTCAGGCATAGGCATGACACAGGTTCCTAGCCACTTATCAGCACTAGCTTCATCAGGACCAGCATATGAAGTCGTTCCATTGTCTGAAGCAATATTAGAATCCCGAGTTATCCAGTTTGGAAGATCTGCTTGATGAACTGGTCCGACTGGTACATGTCGCCGATGGGAATGATCAGAAAATTGGAAATAAGTATCTTCCAGCTGATCAAATCCCATTATTCGGTGATCAATTTCATATCCTGGATATAAAGAGAACCAGGAAGGTTGATCAAGCCCGGTAGCCATTTCCGCCGGATTGGATGTTAACGAAGGGAGTGTCAAATTATCTGCTTCAAAGCTTTTATCATGAGCATCCACACCAACTGCTGCTCTTCTCCATTCTGCCTCTTCTGAAATAGGCAAATCATGGTATATTTTAATTCCAAATAATGCCCACATACTAACACTACTTAACAATAGCATATATTATATGCAAGGATTCGGTTCTTTTTGAGGTCTACCTGGAAGTTTTCCCTCGGGGGGAACACTAACAAAAGAGTTTTCATGAAGCTGTTCCAACTTCCCTGCTTCATTATCTTGCCTTGCCCGCTTATTCACCGCGTCGTCGCAAAAATAGCTTGAAGACCGTTTACCATTCTCAACTGCTTCAGTTCCCAAGGATCTTTCTGCTGCAAGCGAAGAAGTAACGGCATAGTCAAGCGAAGAAGTAACGTCAGTGAACATACTGGATATGCCATCAGTTCTCATTCTGTAATCCATGTCTTTAGCAACTGAGCAAATATGATAACCCCCACCCTCAAGACTAGCCTTAGGATCTTCCCTGCTGTCAAAACACTCCTTATCTTCATCATAACAAAAATACACTATCAGATAGAGAAAATGAACCTTCATATCACACAGAAAATGAAGTCATATTTCCTTTTACCAGACACGTGATGTTTCCCAGAAACAAATTTAAATGGAGAAACTTCTGTGGATGCCCGAAAATAGCCAGCACACTCCATTTGCCTCAGGTGTTCATAGGAAAGCTGGTATGAGTCGTCGGTAACACAAGGCTGCCTGTTGTACATCTTCAAGCTGGAAAAGAAGGAATAATACAGGTTGCTATTACAAACTATGATAGTATTTACAGCAATAAGAATAATTAGACCACTGGAAAAATGCAATGCAATAAAAATTACATAAAAATTTTCACTAGGCGCCAACAAGAAATGAAATTTTTAGTAAATTGATTGAACATGACCATCAATGGTTGTGCTGACTAGGAGTATAATATAGCTTTGCTCACAAGATATGCAACGATAAAGATTACTAACACAAAGCCACAGCTTAAGTTGCTTCCAATGCATATAAGAGCTTTTTGGACAACTAAAACGAGTCAAAGCATTTTATTTTAGCTGATATTAATCAAATGAATATAATTAAACACACACACACACAATAAAAAAAGCCAAGTTTATAGTCATTTTAAAAAAATGACCGCAGACAGTTTATTCCATTTAAGAAAACAATGCTGCTGCCCCTAGACAACTTGAACCAAAATTCATCTTTTTTTAACAAGATTTTTCTGAGCTCAGTTTAAATGAGTTGCAATAAATATACAAGCCTCCAGTTAGCAGGAAATTTGAAAACTACAACTCCAACTGATGAAGGCCACTAATATTATTTTAAATTTGTAAGAATAATTAACTGTTTTTTTAAATGTTTAAAAAAAATTGGCCGGGGGGGAAGGGAAGGGGGGGGGGGGGGGGGGATAAAAAAAAACATCTGAAATTCAATTTCAGATATTTAATTTTTTTTTATTACCCCCCCAACTCCTGTTAATTATTCTTACAAATTTAAAATAATATTAGTAGCCTTCATTAGTTGAAGTTGTAGTTTTCAAATTTCCGGCTGATGGAGGTAAGGATAAATAGGTGATTAATTATTCCATAATTGAATTCCTTGATAAGGAAGGAAATGATTAAAATAAGGGAGAGATGGGGCCGGCCATATGGGGAGGGAGGAGAAAGGTATACATACAATGTATGTGGACCATAGCATTAAAAGTGATGGGGTAATTAAGTCTGAAATTAATTTCAGATTTGAGAGATTTGAGGGGTTTCCTAAATGAGAGTTGTTTTAATTAGAAAGCTTTTGAAATTCAATTTATTTTGAATTTAAATTCAAATTCTTTTCAAATAACAAGAGGCTAAATAAGGAAATAACTAATAGGGATTTAATTTGGGATCTAATGAGAAGTGAGAGGGAGGCTGGCGGTTAAGGAATGATATAATGGGTGTAATTAATGAGGAGAGGGGAATTGGGAGGGAATTTAAAACTTCCTAAATCATGATTCTAAATAGGAAAAGGGTAATTAAATCAAATCTAATTTAAAATCAAATTAGACTTAAATTCATGAACTTTTCTAATTTAGCTTAGTTAATTTTAGTAAAGTATTTGAAATTCAAATTTGAATTTCAAATATATTTAATTTTTACCCCAAATTAGGTAGGCTAATTTTGGTAGGTATTAATGATGATTGAAATCATCATTAAGAGGAAAAAAGGGATGGGGGTGGCCGGCGGCTAGGAGGATGGGAGGAGATGGGGTGGCCGACTAAGAGATGGTGGTGGAGTGGTTTATGACCGGCGGTTGATATGGATAGGAAATTAAAATTTGGATATTTGATTTTTTTTTTATTTCCCCCCCCCCCCCAACTCCTGTTAATTATTCTTACAAATTTAAAATAATATTAGTGGCCTTCATTAGTTGGAGTTGTAGTTTTCAAATTTCCGGCTGATGGAGGGAAGGATAAATAGGTGATTACTTATGCCCATAATTGGATTCCTTGATAAGGAAGGAAATGATTAAAATAAGGGAGAGATGGAGCCGGCCATATGGGGAGGGAGGAGAAATGTCCACATACAATGTATGCGGACCATAGCATTAAAAGTGATAAAGTAATTAAATCTAAAATTCATTTCAGATTTGAGGAGTTTCCTAAATAAGAGTTGGTTTAATTAGAAAACTTTTGGAATTCAATTTATTTTGAATTTAAATTCAAATTCTTTCCAAATAACAAGAGGCTAAATAAGGAAATAACTAATAGGGATTTAATTTGGGATCTAATGAGAAGTGAAAGGGAGGCTGGCGGTTAAGGAAGGATATAATGGGTGTAATTAATGGGGAGAGGGGAATTGGGAGGGAATTTAAAACCTAAATCATGATTCTAAATTAGGAAAAGGGTAATTAAATCAAATCTAATTTAAAATCAAATTAGACTTAAATCCAGAAACTTTTCTAATTTAGCTTAGTTAATTTTAATAAAGTATTTGAAATTCAAATTTGAATTTCAAATATATTTAATTTTTACCCCAAATTAGGTAGGCTAATTTTGGTAGGTATTAATGATGATTGAAATCATCATTAAAAGGAAAAAAGGGATGGGGGTGGCCGGCGGCTAGGAGGATGGGAGGAGATGGGGTGGCCAACTAAGAGATGGTGGTGGAGCGGTTTATGACCGGCGGTTGATATGGATAGATTGGAGGAGGCTTGTGGCTTTGGAGGGGTTTGTGGGAGAATCGGTTGGTGGCAAGTGGGGGAATTTGGTCGGCGGTCAAGGGAGGAGGAGAAAATGATTTAGGGAAAGAAAGATACAACCGTGAGCCCGGACGCATCCTGCAGCTGATGGGTAATACGTTGCCCTTCTCCAAGGGACTTCAAGCCACGAGCCCGAACCCATCCTGTGGCTGGTGGAAACTCTGATTCCCTCCCATAGGAATCTCACCCAAGTTCTCTCCAAAGAACACAAGTGCAAACAAAATTTCTTTTCTTAATAATTCATCATTACATTACACAAGCAAGGGCCTCTATATATAGACCTAAGAAACTAAAACAAGGCATATATGCCCCTAGGGCTTACATAGGATGACCCTTTTAAGTACGGGTAAAAAGGGAAAATTCATAATAAAAATAAAAATTACAAATAAAAAATTAAGATAAGATAGAAAGATCTCGACCATCGATTGTCATCTCCTCTGAAAATCTTCATGATCGGATGTCTGCATCAGGAGTAATTCAGACCGTAGAGCAATTCAGACTAGGAAGTAATTGAGAAAACAAACATGCATCCATGTCATCAGTATTATGAAATCATTCATCACACCATATCAGCCATCTTGTTCCACCACGACTAGAACCATTCAATATACCCAAGCTAGCATTTCCTTCGATTCGAGAGGAAGGAATAACTCTCCAAATCTCTAGCCGTAGCTTAGAGCCCAAAAGAAAAACTAGCTCTCTCCCAAATCACATTCAAAATCAACATGAAAAACTCAAACCTAGGTTAACTCCCTCTTAATACAATCTAATTCAAAACAAAAGCAAAAGGACCTCTCTACCCTTCCTTCTCCCTCCAAAAACACTTAAACCATGTTTGAATTGCAAGTGGACCCCACCCCTTGGCCCTTTCCCTCTTCCGCCTCCCCCCTGTTCCGTTTCCGCCTGGAGAAGACCCGGACCGGCTGAGCCGGTCCAGGTTGGGCCAGTCCAGGCTGGACCGGCCTAACAGTCGCCAACACGTCGCCTCCACATCGATAGCCCGTTGTCTCACTCAAGGTCTTCAGATGTCGAAGTCATCGTGTCACTCGCAATAGTAACTCATCTCGCTCACGATCTTCATCTATACAACATGTTGTCTCGCTCGTAGCAGTAAGTCTTGGTCCTCTGCGTTCCATCTCCAGAGATTATTGCAAGAGGGATTATAGTGGAAGGTATTGAGGATGATAAGAAAAAAGTATTTTTTTCTAAAATATCGACGACACAAAGCCAAACTTGCGGTTTTTTCCGCTAATTTGACAAAAAAAATTAACAGGGCATTAAATGGGGATATTTTTTAAATAGTTGGGAGACTAGATTGGGTCATTATTGAAGTCAATGATTAAATTGGGCATTCATTAATAGTTTAGAGACAATTTTGGGCTTTTACTCTACCTAAATATATAGAGATATGTTTCAACATTCTATACATGGTATATTTAAATATACATAAACGAATAACTAATATATAATTACACACAAACACATATTCACTCATATCTAAATAATAATATAATATGCCATAACTTATGATCCATAGCATATTACATAATAAACTAATATAAATATTTTATACATTATATCTATAACTTGTTACAGTAATACATGAATAACTATATTTCTATCCTAATATGTATTCTTATATGTAAAAATATTAAATCATAAGAATTATATTATTGTGTTTGTGTGTATATATGTAATTTTACTAAGAATATAATAAATGTCCTTATGTAGGTTGACTTAAGTAGATTTTCCAATATAGTTGATATGATATGTAGAATACTAGAATGCTTTCATGCAAGGGAAAATTAAGGAACCAGTGAACCACATATCAATAAGTTACCAATTAATCAAAATCATATTCTTTAAACGAAAACAAGAGATAGTAGAATTTTAAGTCAAATTGATAATGAAATGATTATAGATATCAAAGAATTTCATCAAAATTTGAAAAAAAAAATCAACAAATAAATTAATATGTTTCCACAAAATCATATTTTTGACAAATCACTTTTCCACAAAAATAAAGAAAACTAAACTAGACCAATAGCCCTGGAATAAAACTACCAATATTTATAAATAAAAAAAAAAAGCCCCGTGCTAGTTCAATGAGATATTTTCTTCTTAATCAAATTGTTGCACTTGTACCACACTTGAAAGAATCTCATATCAACTTCCACTCATAAGATTGAAATTATATTTCAGATATTTTCTTCAAACCAAAGATATAAATTACATGACTCAAACTATTATTAATAGACTCATCATAAAATAGGCTAGTAAAAAAGCTTAGCAAAGGATCAATCTCAATTTAGATTCAAGTTAATCCCAATTTTAATTTTAATTTTAATTTGAAAATTTCAATAAACTTAATTACATTGTCCCATCCCCACAATCTAGGTCATTAAAAAGAGAGAGATGCGCCCACATCGCTCTCAAACACATGCTATTAGCAATAGCTACATATTAGTTGAACTGTAGAATTGACGGAAACATGC